TTGAAAAACAAATTTGCCTTGGCCTTCGAAAATTGTTTCACGTATACCCTTTACATACCCCGATGCCAGAAACCTTCGTCTGGCTTTGATTATGTCTGAATAAATTTGTGTGTGTATATTTTGTTTGCCAAGAAAAGCTGTCAACGGTTAACAACTCTCAGCAGTTATAAATAACTTTGATTAGAACATTGTTCAACTTCTAGGTACCAGGGCTGCTAGACTCGCCACACAAATATATTTTGTGTTATGATATAGTGGAGGGAGAAGCCGAAAGATTGCCGCAAAGTTTTCTTTTCTCACAAATACGGAGGAGATCCTTTAATCTCCGGACGTTTTTTTATTGAAGGGGCCAAATATCCCTACCAATCCCTAGGCGCCGAACAAAAGGACCACGAGAAAGTGCGCGGGGATGACAGTGATTCATACCGGTGGCGTCACGACAAAGATAATCTGCTGCGACCAGCGTGTTTGACCTTGATGGTCACTAAAAAACCACTCAAGACCGTCTAATATGAGTCTCATATCGCTCTTATTTTCTTCGATAAAGCATAATTTACTGAAAGACGTCCTTCCAGTGTTCCTATCTCACGGCCTTTTGGATACTTAGGAACAACACTGTCAAAGCTACTGGAGCAAGCTCGTGGCTTCATCTATCGTTACGTTTGCGCAAGTTCTGCGAGACCAACCCCCCATGCTCATGACAGCAGCTTTGACAGTTCATTGCCAGCCTATGCTTCGTTTCAGCCAACGAGCTTGAGTAAACTTAGAGCGGTAAACCAGCGGCCAAAAATGGCACCTCCAGGTTGCCGCCATCTTGCCTGTTTGCCACATTAGTGATCACGTGACGTTAAGATTGCTGCGCCCAGAGGTGGGCCTGATCAGATTGGCCAGATCACGGTCAGCAGATGGGCACTCTGGGGCTGCGTTCCAATATTACTCGAATGGGTCCGCTGTTCCGGCGGATCAAGTCACGTGACAAGACAGACACAGCAATGCTGGACGCGGGTAGGTTTTCGAACGCAACGGGTACGAGACCTTCACCCAAAAGTGAGATAAAAGCTGCGTTCGATTTACCTGCACCTCCTGCACCGGTGTAGAAAAGTGTAGGGTGGTGTACTTCCGGTCGCATCTCAATACACACACCGGAAGTAGACTGCCCTACACTTTTCTGCACCGGTGTAGGAGGTGCAAGTAAATTGAACGCAACTTAATCTCATTCCTGGGTGAAGGTCTCGTACCCGTTGCATTCGAAAACGTACCCGCGTCCAGCATTGCTGCATCTGTCTTGTCACGTGACTTGATCCGCCGGAAGAACTCGGATCCATTCGAGTACGATTGGAACGCAACCCCAGAGTGCCCGTCTGCTGACCGTGATCTTGCCAATCTGATCTGACCCACCTCAGGGCGCAGCCATCGTAACGTCACGTGATCACTAATGTGGCAAATAGGCAAGATGGCGGCAACCGGGGGGGGGGGGGGGGGGGGTTGCCATTTCCACTGCAGGCAGTGGGTTCCGGTTTACCGCTCTAAGGTAAGACTCAAGCTCCTAGGTTTCAGCCTAATTCCAGACGCAGCCGATGCTACAAGCACGAGCTCCGGGTTTTCAGCGTCTCTTCTAAGCACGCGCTCTCGTACAGTGCAAGAACTGCTAAGGGCCACATGCTCGGGCTTGTAGCATCGGCTGCATCTGGAATTAAAGGGGTCATGAAACGATTTTCCTACTTCTTCCTCCTTAGCTTTAATCCTCAACTCAAATGCGAATTGTGAAATCCCGTGGTCGTGACATTCCTTCGGCACCGGTGCGGTGACTCCTAGCTTCCACCGTGCTTTCTGTGCACACCATAGAACTTGTCATTCCCCAGGGACGATAAGTTCCGTCTCATTGGCCATTGGCACTCATTGGCCACGAACGCAAATCCGAATATTCGTCGACGGATTGATTGTTGACGAGCGCATACGTCCGAGTGACGCAGTTCTCGTGTCCAATGCGTGAGCTGGGCTCTGCTGACGTCAGGTTGGCGCCGGTGACGCACTTTTGGAACCGCGGTTGTATCATAGTGAAAAGGCGGAGAGCTTTCGAAGGCAAGAGGGTACAAAATAGTCCGCTACATTTTCAAATGTTCGTACCGAAAAGCTGGCTTTTGACTTCCTAGCCTCTTTCTTTTGGCCAACTAAACGATATGCGATTAGTAAAGTCCCAATTTAAAATCATTCATCCCAACCCAAACTTCGTTTCATGGCCCCTTTAAGCTCAGACGAAGTATAGTAGCCTTGTCCGCCTCCAGGCTGGTTTCACCTCCGGGCTTGTTTCACCTCCGGGAAATTGCCTCCCTTTAGGAAGGGGGGAGGGGGGGGGGGGGTTAAAATCGTTTTACTGATCTTTTATAAGTAAATAACCGTGGGGCGCGTGGGTAACGAAAAACATCAGTGTGGCCGTTTTTTTTGTTTTTTTTTAAAGATTAGCGATATTAGGATTAATTTTGCATCCATCAACGGAAGTAGGAGCAATGTCAAACAGTTAACATCGGCGGTGACGTATTAAGAATGCTATGAGTTCAAGCGTTCATCGGACGCAATCAAACTTGTCAGCGTTGATTCAAACACAAATCATCAAATTTGTTATTCACCACTGATAATCCTGACCCTGACGTCAACGGTTAGAACTATAGGAAGTATTCACTGGCGGCCATATTCGTGTGCGTTGCTGCTGACCGCGTGCTGACGGCGAGCTTCCGCAGTCCTTTTGGAGCGTGCATTTAGCACCATCAAGGTTGCCGGCCTTAGCAGGCTATTAATGTGAGCTCGTTCTGAGCATGCGCTCTAAACATCGCCCTCAAATATGGCGCTCAGTGAATACCTTCTATAGACCCTTTTCAACAAAGTGCCACAGGCCGGTGCTCCGGTCTTTGACATCAAAGAGAACTTCCGGTTCATAAGAAGAATGAACCAAGCCCACCTTAAGCCCGCTGCGTGAAGTGTCAATGGAACGTTTAACCACCAATTTTCAAGGTGAACGCCAAAAGAACGAAGAACCACGAGATCCGTTAAAATTTTTTGGAATGTTCTTGTAAGGCAACTTGTCTACTCCAAGACGATAAATTGTACAGCAGAAGGCCCTAATTAAACCTCCAACTTTGGTGTTCGTGTAGCATTTATGCTTTCTAGTATTGGTGGCAAAACCAAGCTCAACAGGCTTGCTAATACCCCTGTTACACGAGCACCCTTAACCGTGGTTAACTCAGCTTTAACTGCTGTTACGTGGCACCACAGTTACCGCACTATACCCTCGGACAGCTATTTCAAAAGAAGTGAAGAGAGCGCGTGCACTGCTTTGATGGGTGCTCAAGATGCTGCCGCGCAGGTTCGCCCATAGCTCTGACTGCATCGCCGCAGAATGTTGTCGGCAAGTATTGTGCGCTAACTGTGGCTTGGCGTAACCGCAGTTAAGTGTGCCCGTGTAACAAGGGTATAAGACTGAGCGACAGGAGTCGTTTGGGACGCAAGCAACGGTTCGTATTAAAAAAAAAAAAATGTCTATAAAATGACGCTGCTGAACGCGCCTGCACACTATGATCTCTGGCACGAGCCTCTCGCTTGTAAGTCTGTCATGGCCCCTCGTGACTTCCTAAAACGCGAACCGTTTCAATAGACCTTTCCGGGAAATTCCAGGAAACCTTGCAACGAGCGGAATTCTGGGGCTCTTTGGATGTACGCTCGTGCCGACTCGAACGCTTCGTATATACTGGTAGCGGTTGGATTCATTATTTTTTATTAGCAGCTCAGAACAGACACAAAAAATAAAATGAAGCGGACAAAAAAAATAATCATATACTCTCTTCTGCTTTCTCTGCGCTCGGAGATCACGAACTGTTAAAACAACGTCAACGACGTAACATCTGTTCCAACACGCTCATCAAAATCTTCGTTCTCACTTCTTGGATAATTTCACGTACCGTACACCTCAACGTCACAATGCGAAAAGCAGACACTGGGGCAGCACATATTTCCGGAAAGGTATATTCCACAACCTCCGGACATTATTTCGAAAAGTTCACGCTGGGCTGTTCCTCATCGTCGCTCATTATAAGCCCCTCCCCCCCTTCCCAAGGGGGGTTATAAAAGGGGGGAAAGTACGTGAAGAGAAAGGGGTAAAGGTACGTCTGTATGTGTGTGTGGGGGGGATTTCCCCTATTTTCAGTAATCTTAAAAATTTATATTAAAAAGTTCGTCCTCTTCCGTCGACCCCACCACCTCTCTATATTTTTTTTGTCGCACTATGCTTCTTCCTCCTCCTCCGGTTTTTTCCGCCATTCCCCGTCGCTCCTCAGTTTTTAACACTTTTCCGATGTTACTACTCAGATTCCCTCTCAGTGACCCGGATAGCGTTGTTGACAATGGCGGAAGATGGGCTCTAAAGCCGCGTACACGGGGCACGGCTCCATACTATCACAAAGGTGAACCCCGATTCCGAAGCGAAAATGTCAGCCTAAAGAAAACTCGTTCGCAGATCTGCGAAACTTCACATTTTCGTTACCGATAACTTTCCCAAACGACGAGCTTGAGACGAGAAAGTTCAGAGTCTTCACTGCCTGCCTAGAGACAAACTAGACAGCATTGACTCTAACGTGGGGTGAGGATGTAGGGACACGCGGGCGCGCCGTCATCACTGCAACTCTTCAATTGGCTCGCCCCGCGGTGTTGCTCGCGCGCGCTCCGATGAAGCTCGCTACGACTTTGTGTTCCACAATCTCGCTGGAATTCGAGCGCCAAAAGTATGGATGATTGACATATCGTCCGGCGTGATCGTCGCAAGAGTCCTATCTGCACGCTCCGCGATCTACGGCCCCACTTTGTGTTTGTTGAGACTAGCCACCCAAGATATTTTCAGAGATGTACAAGTGAGTGAAAAGTCATGGTAGGGTATTACAAAACCCAAATTTGCTCGTCGTTTTTGCGTTTAAAAGGCTCTATAGGTTTTCTAGTAATGCTAAGTTGCTTACCTGACTATCTCTTGTATCATGAGCCGAGATTTTTGCATCAATCCTGTTCTATTTAGCGGAAGATTGGCAAGCGCACTCCTCAGCCATTTCGGTTTCCTCTCCACCATCAATCCAGATTCCGAACCATGCACGACATTTTCAATGAGGTTCACTAAGTAGACCCGCTTGGCGTCTCCAATGTCAAATCTGGATCCAAACATGAGGCCAGTGGTGACATTGGCCACGCTGTCTGTGATATAATCCCTGACGTTGATCAGGCAACCCGCAGTGTTCGATATTTGGTGAACCAGATCCTGCAGCTCTTCCTAAATGACGAAGAAATGAAAAACAAAACAAGAATGAATCGAGAGGCTCCAGTACAACTTAAAATCTGTTATATATTTAATATTGAAGCAGCAAGCAAGCACTGCAGCACGCACTCGCCCTTTGTGTAGATAGAAATCATAAAACGGATACGATTTTTACAGTGGACCGATCCGACAAGCGGTCCACGTATGCGTGACGCCGCCATAACAGTAGTTCACAAGAGGTACCGAGTCGTCCGTGCACGAGACAGCTTGTGCCGCCTCGAGGTCTGCTCGCGGAGACCTCGAGCGTGGTTCTCGCGTGTGCAGAAAGCCTACAGTTCCTACGATGTATAGACGCTTTGCAGCAGCTGCGCATGGACGCCGCCATAACTGACCTTCAGTTTTTGTTTCCACTTATTTCGTTTATTTCACCTCATCTTTAGTATAGCAGGTCAGGTTATTGCCACATTAGATTCAACTGCGTCCTTTCCTAAAGCATCGGCCTTTGTAGAGGATCGTCAACTACCGTTTCAGTTGCTCGGCATCTCGGTAAGACAAGAGAAGGTCAGCAATGGCGGCTGTAAATTGGCGCGTGTGTAAAGCCTGTATAGCCACAGCGGTGGCGTACTCGAACCAGCTGGTGAAATCGGTCTATTCAGATTGTTGGAGGCTAATTCATCCTTTACTCTGTGTCCATGGGGCCCTTTCAAAAGCCAATCAGGCAACCTTGGCGGTCGCCATTGGTTGGACACGAAGCGCGTGATTGGATCCGAGTTCACACCGAACGATGACGCAGCCCTCGTGTCCAATACAGGCTCGCAATACGTGAGTGAGCCATTGCGGACAGGTGTTGGCGCGTGCTTTTAAAAATGGTCTATTCGGCCGTTCCAAAGCGCTGGATACTTCGGAGAGACCGATCAAAAATTCCGCACCCACTGGAACAGTTCGTATGCGGCGAGCAAGTTCGTCTGCTTCTTGCACAGGGTTTGCGATGAGGTCGGAACGCCGGGCTCTTACGTATTGATTGAAAAAAATTGTGGGTAGACCTCAAGGCATCTTGTATTGAGATCTACCCACTATCCTTTCTATCCAAGCCCATCAGAGATCGACGTCGTTCAGACGTCACCACAACTCCTGGAAAAGAAGCAGTCGACTTTCTCCCCGCATATACTTCGTTTTGCTCTTAGTTCGACCGCAGTCAACGCTATGATCTGATGGAGCCAATCAAGCTCCGTCAAAAGTGCGCGTTTTTGCGCGTTTGCTATCCCCGGCTAAACCAATCATGCCCCGTAATCCTGCGCGTTTTTCTGCCCGGGACATGAAACGCTGTGCTGTTTAAATCAAGTCTGAATGGCAATCGACTTTTTGATAAATTACCCAAGCACCAAGGTGCATACTGCGAGTGTAGTTACATGCGCTGCGCGTCGTGGTGTTTGCAGTATATATGTAGTTACAGCCCTAAAGCAAAAGCCTAAAACAAATTTCATCTTTGGCGAGTGTTCGTCAACTTTTAATTTTGGTTTTAATGCGAAAGCATTAACTGTCCCATGGAGCAAACCGAAGTCATCCGTTTTTAAAGCCGCGCCAAACGGCACCTCCTCATGTCCCAATGGAGCGAAGCTTGTCGTCTGTAACAAAATTCTGATGGATAGTGTAGAGGGAATTGTTGCTTCTTGGCGTTCCGAGATATCGATCAGTCTCAACAAATCTCAACACTTTTATTTTAAACTACACACACTACACACATGTTCCAAACAGACGAGCCACTTTCTCGTTCTCCGATCCGTAGCGTTCCAGCTTTCGTTCTGTTCGTCTCCACTTTCCCAGCTGTTGATCTTCGCGGCTGCATCCGGCCGCTGCGGGTACGAAGTTTACATCTCGCTGCCCGCGCGCGATCATAAATCGTCTCCGCCGAGACAAGCAGTGGTGCGAGGTTCAACTCGCTCCTCGCGTGCATCCTCTCCGCAGAGGGAATCCGATGCCGTCCTCGCGAAAGTTCCAACACACTCCCCACCGAATGGGCGCGAGCACATTCTAGAGTTCCGTCATTTCTAGGGGGTAGATTAGTTGCACTGGCCTTCGCAGTACTGTACCGCGATGTACGCGAATCTCGCATGAACGAACCTTTGCATCGCGTCCATAAAATACCTTCTCAACCTTTCCAAGCTTCCAAAGCAATCGTGGAAGTGGTTCTTTCAAAAGGACCAACTGGCCCACTCGGGGCGGAGGGGACTGCTTTTGGTGACTAGCATAAGCAGACCTCAGTTCCCGGAGGTATTCCGCCTCCCACGTCCCCCAGAATAAATTTAGAATCCGTTTTCGCTTTCGCCACAGACCGCGAAGTGCCTCCGGTGTCGAAGCGAGCGGCTCTCCCCCGGCCGCCGGCAGCGCCGTCAGCCGTCTACCGATTAGAAAGCTCGCAGGCGTGAGAGGGTCACCCTCTCCCACCTCGTTGTATACAAAGGTCAATGGTCTCGAATTCACCACGGCTTCAATTTCGGTGAGAACCGTGGCCAATTCATCTGCGCCCAGGCATTTCTTTCCGATCACCTTCCTCAATGACACCTTTACTGAGCGCACGAGCCTCTCATAAAAACCTCCCCACCATGGCGCTCGTTCGACAATAAATCGCCACTCTATGCCAGCATTGGCAAAATGTTGAATCACATCAGGGTGTCGGAGTGTCTTCCACAGTTCCCTTAGTTCTTTTGAGGCCCGTTTAAATGTCAAAGCGTTATCCGAATAAATGACGCGACATACCCCTCTCCGCGACACAAATCTGCGAAAGGCATACAGAAAGCTCTTTGTCGACATGTCTGTCACTAACTCTAAATGTACCGCTCGGGTAACCGCACATGTAAACAACAAGACGTAACATTTGCTGGTGAGGTCGTTCGCCTTAACATACAGGGGTCCCGCAAAGTCTGTGCCCACTACTTCAAACGGGTCCGCTCGCGTTGTACGATCCGCCGGCAAGGGTCCCGTTGGAGCACATGCCGGAGTCGCGTTGAATCGCTGGCAGGTCACACACGCACGCACCACTTTCTTTACCAGCTGTCTTCCACGGAGGATCCAGTACTTCTCGCGCAGCTGTACGAGAGTGTCCCTGGCTCCCGCGTGCAGTACCTGGCGATGGGCGTCGATAGTCAGCAACGTTGAGTATCGATGCTCCTTAGGCAGCACAAGGGGGTGGCGTTCTTCTTGCGTCAGGTTCGATGACTGGAGTCGACCGCTGATCCTCAGCAATCCCTCTTCATCGATGAAAGTGCGAAAGTCACGCAAGAGCGACCCAGGTGGGGGCGACATTCTCTTTGCTGCACAATCAATATCGGAGGCAAACGCTGATCTTTGTGCACTCGTTATCCAGTGTGTTTGCGCTACGTGGATCTCCTCGGCGGTCAGTGGTCCCATCCTTTTTTCTGACGATCTGAGGTTATAGATGAACCGTAAAATCCAGGCCGTTGTTCTGTGGAGTTTCAAGGCCGAGCTGAACCTTGAGATGTCCAGCAACTCTTCAGGTACAGTTGCAGTTACCTCGAAGAGCTCTGCTCTTGGAGTCCTCTCCTCGAGCCCGTCGTGGGAAAGCTCCTCGTCACTTTCCCCAGGCCACTCTGTCGCGGGCAGTAGCAACCAAGTTGGTCCGTTCCACCAGAGCGGCGCAGACAGCAGTCGATTCGCGGACAGCCCTCGTGTCATCAGGTCGGCAGGATTTTCTTTCCCCGGGCAGTGGTGCCACATTGCCTTCTCGTTGTTTGCTTGAATTTCTTGTACTCTATTTTTCACGAACGTCTTCCACCTGGATGGCTCTCCCCTAATCCAATGCAGAGCGATCATAGAATCCGTCCAGAAGTGGACTTCATTCACTTTGATTTCGAGGTGTGTCCTTACGTACTTAAACAGCCTCGATCCGATCAAGCATGCCATGAGCTCTAATCTAGCAAGGCAGATTTCCTTCAGGGGCGACACGCGGCACTTAGCCAGTAAAGGGCCACCCACACTAGCGAGAAAACGCGCGTGGCACGCCGATCGCGGCAAGTAACAAAATGTCGCCGAAGCACAGTCAGCGCCACGAGCGCGTGCAGAGACACGCCCTTTATCTTCCCGCTTAACCGATTTATCGGCGTGCCGGGCGCGTTTTCTCGCTAGTGTGGGTGGCCCTTTAGAGTGTCGCGGTCATTTCTCCGGTGTCATCCGTTGAGCAGATGAAGATCATCGAACCGTATGCGGAGGTGCTGGCATCAGAGAATACGTGCAACGTTCGATGTACAACGTTGCCCTTCAGCTCGCTGTCGTAGAATCTGGGCACGTTAATTTGCTGAAGTGTGGTGAGCTCGTCGCACCAGTTGTTCCAGCCACTCATCAGTTCTTCCGGCAGTGTATCGTCCCAGCGCAGATTCAGCTTCCAGATTTCCTGAAACAAAATCTTGGCTCGCACCACGAAGGGGGAAAGGAAACCAAGGGGGTCATACAGTCGTGCTGTCGTCTGGAGCACGAAACGCTTGGTGTTTCTTCGTTGGCGGGCAAATTCAATCACGTGTTCTGCCGAAAAGGAAAGGCTGTCGTCATTCGGCTTCCACGTCAGACCGAGTACCTTCAACACACCCGTCTGTTGTCCCAATGGTCTCTCATCGGGACCCTTGTCTTCAAGCATTTTCGACAGGGCTGCGCTATTGGAGCCCCACTTATGGAGCTTCATCCCCGCTGCTCCAAATATCTCGATCGCCTCGCTGCAGAATGTCCAGGCGTCCTCTTCACTTTCCGCGCCCGTCAAGAGGTCGTCAACGTAGACCGATCTACCCAGTCGCTCTGCTGTCTTAGGGAATACGCTCTCCATTTCTCTGAAATGATGTCGTAGGGTCGCGGCCAACAGAAAGGGGCTGGACGTGGCTCCGAAAATGACCCTCGTCATACGCCAGACTTCCACCTCCGGAGTTGTTTGGTTCGGTTGAGGAATTTCTTTGTACCAGAGGAACCGCAGAGCATTGCGATCCTCCGGGTTTACTTCAATTTGAAGGAAGGCCTTTTCGACGTCCGCAACCAGTGCCACCGGGTGTTGCCTGAAGTTGAGAAGCAGGCTAACAAGGTCTGGGTTCAGGTTCGGACCGCTCTCCAGGTTGTCGTTTAGTGACTTGCAGTTCGGTCCGTGCGAAGACGCGTCGAAAACGATTCTCATCTTCGTCGTACTGCTGCCTTCTCGCAGAACAGCCTGGTGGGGCATGTAGTACACCCGTTCATTCGAGTTATCGTCTCTCTCGACCCTCTCAGCCATTCCGTTCTCGACGTAAAGCCGGACTGCCTGATCATATCTCTGCATGAGCTCAGGATTCTTGCTTAGCCTCTTTCGTTGGCTTTCGAGTCTCTTCCAAGCCATCTCTCGGTTGCAATCAAGCTTTACATCAGGTTTCCAAGGGAGGCTCACTTCGTATCTTCGATCAGATTTGGTGATGCTTCTCTCAAAGCGCTGCATGATGTCGCTATCGGAGTGATCCTGGACCTCTGCGTCCACAACTCCCATACTCTCAAGCTCCCAAAATCCTCTCAGGACAGCCGTGTTCTCCTGGTCGCTCACGGCAGCTCTGAGGACGATCACTTGGGAACAGTTGACAACAGCTGCAGTCGTCTGGGAACGTCCATGTACTGCCCAACCAAAGGCGGTCTCCACTGCCGTCAGGTTCTCGCTCAGTCGACGGACTCTTCCCGTAACGCATCCCCAGTAGTGCTCCGATCCTAAGAGGATTCCTACTCCGTTGCACTCGAGTCCGTTCAGGTCGTCACCAACCGTTAGTCCGAGCTCCTCCATATTCACCAGGATGTCTTCATCCGGGCCTGGAAGTTCTTGTTCGCAGATAGAACGCGTCTCGAGGGCGTCTATCTCGTATGTCTGGCCGGTTAGACGATTACTCAAAACTACTTGAACTCTACGGTACGTTTGTTCGCTAGTCTTGCCACCGAACACTCCGACGGTAAGAACCTCCGTTCCGAGAAGCTTGCAACCAAGACCCTCGACAGCTCCTCTGTAATGAAGGAACGCTGACTACCGCTGTCGAAGAGAATGCGGGCCAACTTTCTTCTGTTCTTACTTTCCACCCACGCGGTAACGGTCTGCAGAAGGACAGCCGGTTTGTTGCTCTTCTCGCTCACATGCAGGTTGAGAGGCGTCTTGTCTTTCTTCCGCGTTTCATCCGATCCGCTGGCGGCTCGTCCCGGCAAGTAATCTGGATCACACATAGTGGATACATGCCTTCCTCCACACCTGTCACAACGGAGCGTGCCGCGACACATTCTTGCCGTGTGGTTCGGCTTTGTGCACCGGAAGCACCTGCGATCGGCTTGCAGCCTGCGCTTCTTTTCCTTGAGTTCGATCTTCGCGTTACAGTCTGGTGTGCTGTGCGCCTTTGATTTGCAAAGAAAGCATTCCATGCTGTCCATCCTACCATGCAAGGCCGTAGCGGTAGCGTTCCGAGTCTTGGCGTTGTTTAGGCGCCTCTTCGGATGTTCATGCATGGGGAAACAATGTGCAGGCTTACCGCCGGCGTCTTCGGGTTGTTCCTTGGATGTTTTCTCCCGGCTCTCTACCTCGATCTTGAGAAAGTTCAGCAGCGCGCGCACCTCCTTAACGGGTCCTTGTTCCGTTGCTGAGTCGGAGCCGATGTCGGTTGCTGATGTTCCCCCGGCGGTGGCGTTTTCGGCGTTCCCCGAAGACATCTTGCGGTTGAACTCGAGCCTCATGTCGTCCGGAAGCGCACGAAGCAGAACCGGGTAGAGCATGGCACAGTATGACTGATCCGTCACACCCAACGCCCGAAGGCCCCGGATGTGAGCCTGGACGCTGTCGTAGACCCGCCGCAGAGCTCTGACGCTGCGCGATGACGGCACCTGAATGATGTCCATGAGCCCTGTCATGTGGTCCTGTATCAGCTCCGCCTGGTTCCCGAACCGCTGCTGCAGGAGCTCGATGGCGTGGGCGTAGCATTCAGCGGTTGGGTGCAGTCCTGCGATGGCGGCTGCTCCATCACCAGTCAGGGCTGACCTCAAGTAGTTGAATTTTTCTGAGGACGATAGTTCCGGATTTTCATGGATGGCGGTCTGAAATTGCTCCCAGAAGGGCTGCCAATTTCTTCGGTGTTCGTTAAACTTGATGAGCTCTAATTTGGGAAGCTTGATTTTTGATGTCACCTTTCTTGCTTCCCGCTCTTCGTTCGGTTTCCCGCTTGTTCGTTGGCTGTCCTCCGGACTTTTCACTTTCCTTTTAAGCTTTGCTAGGCACGTGACGATCTTGTCAGAATAATCTATCACTTGCGTGAATTCTGCTTCTGCTTCTTTTTCGGAAATCAACGACTCTATCGCGGCATCTACGTGGTTGAGTTTGTCCCGAGCGAGACATAGACGTTCGATCAATATATCGAGATCATCGACGGTCGGCGTAGCTGATTGTAATAAATCCTTTGCCTCGCTGAGGAGCCTCGTTACTTGCGTTTGATGCGTTTTTCGTTTTTTCTTGAGGACGTCCATTGCCGTTCAGTCCTGGCTTGCAGTGCTCCTTGCTCGTGTCGGTCTATCGTAGATGTTGCCGTTGATTATTAGGTTTCGCTCGTTCAGTCGTTACGTTCTCTTCTCTGTCTGCTGGCGATTCGATCACACCTTGCTCGTCGGCTTCATTTGTAGTGCAGTAGTTTCTTTCCCGGGTTTCGGCACCAATTATTTTGTAGAGGGAATTGTTGCTTCTTGGCGTTCCGAGATATCGATCAGTCTCAACAAATCTCAACACTTTTATTTTAAACTACACACACTACACACATGTTCCAAACAGACGAGCCACTTTCTCGTTCTCCGATCCGTAGCGTTCCAGCTTTCGTTCTGTTCGTCTCCACTTTCCCAGCTGTTGATCTTCGCGGCTGCATCCGGCCGCTGCGGGTACGAAGTTTACATCTCGCTGCCCGCGCGCGATCATAAATCGTCTCCGCCGAGACAAGCAGTGGTGCGAGGTTCAACTCGCTCCTCGCGTGCATCCTCTCCGCAGAGGGAATCCGATGCCGTCCTCGCGAAAGTTCCAACAGATAGGCTCCCACTGGCCGGTGCGCGTCATAGTTTCAAGGAACGAGGCTCCCAGTGGCTCTTGCGCTGCATATTTCCAAGGAACGCCACCAAAAAATCCCTCTTCATGGCGGCGCAGTGCACGCAGCGGCCCGGCCGCCGGTAAGAGGTGCGAGCCTGGCCGCAGAGCCCGCACGGGCAAACTCCGGAGAGGCTGCACGGCCGAGCTCAGCGTGGCGCGGCCACTTGACGAGAGCGCGTGCTCGGCCGCCGGCCGCTACCTCGGCAGTAGCGAAACGTGGCCGTCCACGCCAGTAAGCCACAGACGAAATGAGGGAGCGGAAGAACGACACTCATGCTTTCACATTCACAACTCATAAGAAGTGCGTAGGTGTCCTCGGGACATCTTTTTACTTCGAAACTTTAATACGGAAAAAGCGAGCCCGTGCGGCGCCTAAACTTACATTTTCAGAATTCTTCTCGATACTCAGGTAATTTTGAAAAAGGTCTACTCAACAAGCTTTGATTTTTTTGGTTCAACTTTGTCATGCGAAGCTTGCGCGACGGCGGACGTCAGTTGCGCGCTTTGGCCAACGGAAAGCCGGACCGCTGGCGCGGATTTGCGCATGGACAGGAAACCAAAACTTAAAAACTCATCCGAATTCAGTGATTTCCCGGAAAGCTGTAAATCGCTTTGCCTGCGTAATAATTTTTTTTTAATGTTAGCTGATTTGGTGGTTTTCTATGGTGCCCTGCAGGTTTATAATTGAAACAATACCGTTAAGTTTACTGAAAAAATAATTACTCGAAACCTATTAAGAACATAACGATACCGAATCTACGTCATTATCATAAAATGGGTCCTTCGCAAAAAACCAATAGAACATCAACTTTTCTTCTTTATTCTTTTTTCTGAGCGATTCAAATCTTTTGCGGATCGATTTCTTCAGCGTTTGAAGAAACACCTTGTATGTGCGGGTTTAATTTTTAAACGCGACACAAATTTGAGAACAATAAGTTGTTTGTAGATCGTTGAGCGTGTTGGTTATTAATTTACGATAAGGAAAGAGGAACATTTAAGACTGTCTTGTCTGTTTGTCTTAAATGCTCCTCTTTCCTTATCGTAAAATAAATTGTTGTTCTCGAGAATTCACAAATATAAAATTCACGTAGTTTGGGCACGCTTTTCAGTTACTTCAAAGTTTAGTCCTCACTCCTCAGCAGGAATGTTCAGTCCGTACTAAAAATAATATTTTATTAGAAGTGATAGAGGGACGGAACCGCGAAATCCCCACACTCGGCACTGCGTTGTCGCGAAAACACCAAGATAGAGAAAGAGGAATGGTGCCATTCCCACCATTTAATTACGTGGGTGCTTCTGGAAACAATTCCCAGTTCAGGGTTTTCAAACACTGGTAAGGCATTAAATTTAAAAAAAAATATACGGCTGCCCTCGACGAGAAAGCAAAATTAGATTCCATGTGCAGAGTCATGAATGGCCAGGAAAACACTGAAGCAGAGAAGAGGGATTTCCAAAACGCGCTCTGTGAATAGTCGCTGTCTGCCGACCTCTCCGTTGCTAAAAGAAATGGCACCCGTCAGGCAATCTTGATCCCGCTGTGTTAGAGTGACTACACCGCTAGGTGTCGTCCGCTCACCGGGCCGGCAATCACTCTTCGTTTGAAGCCAATTTTTGTCACTGCCGACTGCACATTGTGCATTATGAAATGCCCGCACGTAGAGAGCCTTACTTAGCTCCAAATGTATTCTCTGCCGCATTAACGTTAGTCACAGTGTACCAGAGTTTACCCCTCCAGTAGAAAATGTAATCTAACCAATGACTTACCATAATATGCTCTTCTATGGAAGGCCTTCCAAAGCCGAGGTCTCCAAAAAGATGCAGAATGAAGTTTCTGTTATGTGTCCATGCTTTTCCGTTCATATTCGAAATGCCTGTAACGACTAAGTATTCGCCGATGTAAGAAGTTAATTGCATTGCAGAAGCTTGTAATGCGCGCGCACGAATGCGTAAAATTCTTAATCAGTTGTTTTTTTTATACTTCGTCTCACCCTACGATGGACTAAAGGAAAAAGCTACGAACTACCAGATCCAATAACGAGCTACTTTGAAATTGCCTGGTATTTCGCTTCGATGAACATTACTGAGTGACTCATCAATTTTACATCGCAAAGAAAGCCACGAGATACAGGCTATTTGCAGTGTCGAAGCTATAGAAATGATGCAGCGCATTTTGATAAGGAGCATTATTCGTCCATCCATAATCAATGTTAAGCATGTCATAGTTTAGCGTGGCGCGTGACTGGAACTGGCGGCCCGCAGATTTGGCCTTTAGTCCATCGTAGGATGAGACGAAGTATAGCAATAAGTATCAGAACACTGTGCAAACTGCCGGCGGTTAACAGTGTGTAATCACGAAGACTTGTTTTCCTTTTTATTTCACGGCGGATGTTATCATGCACACACGCTTACATTTTGCAGCTCTGAATTATACTGACAAACATTGCACACACCTAATGGGGACCATTTGTCACATATATAGCCACTGACAGGATGAGAACGGCTGGGCGCGTGTTTCGAACCCCCGGCCTCGAGCACTTGCTCCGTGCCTTCGGCCGTACTTTGGCTGCGTGCGCACGCGCTAGAGGTGCTCCAGTTGCCGAAGTGTTGTCAAAGATAGGAAGCTCGCACTGGGCGTGGAACGACTTAAAGCTGTGAGCAGCGTGCCTGCCCACAGCGCCGAACGTGCCTCATATGGCCTCAGAGACAGGTAAAGAAGTAGAAGAAGTAGAAGAACGCCAGCCAGCCATGACCAGCCATCAGCCTTCACTCAGCCGTCCCTCCATTATTTACTTTATTTTCATTCATTAAACATTTTTCTTATTCCCAAAGTCTCACATATGGCGCAGTCGACGCCCTCAACCTGCCTTCGCCACCTAATCGCCACGTAAGCCTGTCTGCCCGCTTTCATCCGCGTAGCCGAACGCGAAGCCATTTTTAAGCCAACCAGCCTCCCCTTTGCACATCGCCCACCCAGAACAACGATGTCACTTATCAACTGGAGTAACGCTACATCCGAAGATCTCGCGACCCTGAGCGTTCAGTTCCTCAAAATAGAACTTCAACGCCGAAACCTTAGCACAATCGGAAACAAGGAAGTGCTTATTGACAGACTTTTGACTGATGCAACCCAAAACCCGCCAAATGCGCTGGCTCCTGCAACGCTATTCCCGACTATGCCAGCGTTTACCACAGACGAAGCTGAGAACATGCAGCGCATGGCCGCATTCCTTCACCAGAACATGGCCGCGATGATGACGACGCTAGCCAATCAAGCGAACCAAGTGCACGTGACAACTCTGCCAGATCTATCAGCTTCGCTGCCCACTTTCAATGGAGGCGGCACTCCTACGTTGAAGCACTGGATTGAAGAGCTTGAACGCACTCAGCGCCTTGAAAGATGGGAAGACCCAACTCTTTTAGCCATCGCTCAAGGGAAGCTACGTGGTGTCGCAGCTGACTGGCATGCGTCAACAGGGCGACAACTTACCACCTGGACCATTTGGAAAGCCGGACTGAAAGAACAATTCGGCGAGCAACTTTCGCTCATTCAGTGGCAACAGAAGGTAACAGCCCTCACCCAGAAACCTGGCGATAGCCTACAGCAGTATGCCTTCGCCAAGCTCAAGATCATGTCGCGATGTCCAGTCCCCATCACTGACAAGGAACGTATTGAATACCTTGTTCAAGGCATTCGTGATGATCAGATCGCCACATCCATTGCTGTCCACCGACCCCGAACAGTGGACGACTTCCTCAACATCGTGTCCGAAGTGGACCGAACGATAGACCATTCCCGTCTGGCCCGCACGCCCACATTCCCAAAGCCAGCCCGGGATGGACGTTTCTCAACGAGCGGCTCAACCGCGCACTTCAATTGTACGCCTAGTACATCACAAACTGGCCGTACGCGCATCGCGGATATGCCTCCAGACCAACAGGAAGCCAGGTACAACACAATTTCCACAAAATATGGTTCCCCAGCATACCGACCGGGACAAGACATCAAAGAAGCCATCTGCTACAATTGCAAACAGCCTGGCCATCTCGCAAGCAAGTGTAACAAGCCAAAACAGCCTCCAAATCAGTCCAAGCCGAAGCCATCATATGAACCTACAGCTCTAGTGAGCCAGCTAGACCTCTTGCATGGTTCTAAGCTGAAGTGCCCAGTCGTTCCAGCTCACATAACTGGAGTTGGCACAGTAAGCGCCTTTCCTGACAGTGGTTCCAGCATAACAGTCATCACTGCAAGCCTTGTCAACGAACTCGCCCTACTGCCATGGACGAAACCACCATTGCTCGTCGTTGGCGGCGCTTCCGTCACTCCAAAAGGTGTGGTCCCACTCCTGATTGCAATTGGACCAATGTCAGCCACAGTCGAAGCGGCAGTCCTTGAAAGAAACGCCTTACCTCTCATATTGGGAGAAGACTGGTTCCGCATCGCACAAGCCGAGCTTCACATTAGGCCCCCAGCGTTGCCTATCATTTGCCAACCCAACAGAAACACGGTTGTACAATGTAGAGAAGAACTTTTACCAAGGATGTCCAACGCAGTGATCCTCACACGGTCAGCTCTCTCGCAGTTTGATCCTCCGCATGCTACGGCCGAGCCTCTGCAGACCAAACATGAGCCCGACGAGGATGCACCACTATGGAGTGAGCTGAACAACGCAGCCTGTTGTCATGAGCCCTCAACCTCTGCTCCACCACAACTAGCGGCAACCGCATCACCAAATCAAAGTCTCATATATGGCTCACATTCATGTGCATCCGTATCAAGTGAAACTACTCTTGATGGCGTTTGCATCGGCTCCCAGCTCACGACTAAACAACAACACGATGTGAAACAAATCTTGCTCCTTCACACTGACCTCTTCCCGCGTGACCCTTTCGACCTTGGCCTCTATGAAGGCATTGAACATCAAATTGACCTTGTACCTGAGGCAAAACCATATGGACGACAGCCATATCGCTACACGGCGACGGATAGACAATTCCTCGAGACCCAGGTCGTCACGCTTCTCGACAAGGGTATCGTCAAGCCATCCTCGGGACCATGGGGATTTCCAGCCATTGTGGTCACACAGAAAAATAAGAAGAGACTGTGTGTCAACTACACCCCATTAAACAAGATGACGATCAACGTCCTGCAACCGCTTCCCCGGGCCGACGACATCCTAGACGATCTTGCGGGATGCTCTTTGTTCGCAGTCCTGGACTTGTGCTCTGCCTACTGGCAAATTCGTGTCAGGGAGTCCGACCAAGACAAGACTACGTTCATTACACATCATGGTACCTTCAAATGGACCCGAATGCCCTTTGGATTGAAAAACGCACCAGCAACATTCCAACAGGCAATGAACAAAGTTTTTACAAGTTTGAAACCTAGACAGACCAAGTCAGGAGTCAGGACATACTTGGATGACATCATTGTGTTCGCTGTTGAATTCTTGGAATTCTTGGACCTTTTGGATGAGACTATGAGTCTTCTCCAACAAGCCGGCTTCAAGATTTCGTTACCGAAATGCAAGTTTGCCATGCCCTCTGTAAAGTTTCTTGGCTTCTTGATTTCCGAAAAAGGAAAAGAGCCGGACCCCTCCAAAGTTGAAGCCATGCTACGCATCCCTACACCATTGACCTCAAAGCAACTGCTCTCCTGGGTTCAGACAGCCAACTTTTACAGGAGATTCATTAGCAACTTTTCGAAGATCGCTGCCCCCCTGCAAGCTGTGATTCGAAGCCCTGAGTTCAATTGGACACCGGAGTGTCAACAAGCCTTTGAGACCCTTCGTGCAGCCCTCACATCGGCACCAATCCTTGGACACTTTGATGCAGCTGCGCCAACAACTGTTGCTACAGATGCCTCAGCCACCGCCCTTGGTGCTGTCCTCTCTCAGAGGCAGAATGGCAAAGATATTGTCATTGAGTATGCAAGCCGTGCCCTCACTGAACCAGAACGCAAGCTGCACAGCAACGTTTGGGAAGCCCTGGCTGTGCATTGGGCAGTGACAGTAAAATTTCGTCATTACCTACTGGGACGAAGGTTCCATCTCCTAACTGATAACTGGTCGGTCGCCTGCCTAACCACAAGTTTCAAGCCTTCTCGACGCTTTACAGGAATGCTGCTTGATCTAGCAGAATTTGATTTCTCGGTTGAACACCGACCAGGTCGTCAGAACCATGTGGCTGATATGCTTTCAAGATATTCGTGCGCCACCGTTTCTCAGATCGACAGCCTTGTTACTATGCAAACTGAAGATGAGCAATGCAAGGCCATCCGCGCAAAACTTCTGCCAGGACGGGAGTCACGGGACTTCATTGTGATCGACGACATCTTGTACAAGGTTGTGAGCCCAGAATTGCTCACAATAGTGGTCCCAACCAAGATGCAACAGCAGGTCCTCGAACTTGCCCATGATGCCAATGGACACATGGACGCTTCACGCACCCTCGCTAAGGTGAGAGAACGCTATTGGTGGCCAAAGATGGCTGCTACAACAACAGAATACGCCCAGGCTTGCCAAGTTTGCCAAGTGCATAACCGGCCCACAACCAGAGGTCGGCATTTTAGGTCGCCCTCACTCACCCTCACCCTCACAGCCACACTCACCTAAGCCCCTCACTCACCCTCACCCTCACAGCTACACTCACGTTCAGCCCCTCTCTCACCCTCACCCTCACAGTCACACTCACCTTCAGCCCTTCACTCACCCTCACTGAACCTCACGGCCCTCACGCCCCTCACCGCCCTCACGGCCCTCACGCCCCTCACTCACTCATGGCCCACACGCCACTCACCGCCCTCACGCCACTCACCGCCCTCACGGCCCTCACCGCCCTCACCGTTCTCACGGCCCTCACCACCCTCACCGTTCTCACGGCCCTCACCACCCTCACCGCCCTCACCGCCCTCACGC